GAGGAAATGGTTTACTATGCCCTTACGAGGAAAGTATACGTGGAGCTTACGAGGAAATGTTTTCCACGGCTTTACGAGGAAACCTTCCCTCGTAAATTAGCTAGGCCTTTACGAGGAAAATAGGCTTTACGATGAACGGCTTTCGACGAAACACGTTTCCTCGTTATTTCCTAGTAAAGGGCCATTTACTAGGAAATAATGAGGAAAACTCGTCCTAGTAAAGGACGTGTTTTCTTGTAGTGTTTATTACAAGCATATTGGACCATTACATTTTATTTGTGTCATTGTGTAGTTTATAAATCTATTGTGTTTTACTATTTATAATTATATATATATATATTATAAATAAAATGTATAATTTGTTGCACATTTATATCAAATATTAATTTGAATCCTTAAAGTTAAGGTATAAAATATGAAACTTTCTTGGAGTTGGTTAATATTAAAAATTAATTGATAATTACATAAATTAAAAATATTATATAACTAAAGTTTTAGATGATAATTCTTAACTACAATCACATTATTCATAATTTGTTTTGTTGTATGTGGTAAACTAGATTTTATGATAAATTTAATATTATTAATCTAGTTTTTGTAATGTTTTCTAATAAATCAGTTCTATTACATACTGGATATCTTAATATTTAATGTGAAAGTATGTTTTAAGTAGAAAATACATTAATATATCAATTATTTATTGATTATAGAACCAAATTTAGGTTATATATATATTAGCAGAATATTTGTGTAATTTGAGGATATATTAAAATTTATAAAGTAAATATTATGAAATGTGTAAATTAATGTAATAAAAAATATATCATAAAGATAATTTATTTATTTTTTTTAAAATTAAACTAGGTACTGTTAAGTTGACAAAATATTAAAACAGTAAAAATAATATTATTGAATAATACTGTGTGTGAGAGGTTACATGTTCAAATGATACCAGTTTTTTTTATGGCAGGCTATTTGATGATTTAGATCACTACAAGAGAAATTAAAAGAATGTATTAGTCCACTATAACTATTAAAACATTAAAAAAATTTGGCCAGCGTGATATATGTTAGAAAGATTGACAGTTTTAATTACAGGGCATCAAAAACTATACTAATACAAAATAATTTATCTGAATATACATCATCGATTAAAAATTATTAATAAAAAATAGATTCAATCCATATTAAATTCATATTACATAAAATTTACAAAATGTAAGTAGAAGTGTTATACGTTGTTAGGAAATTATGGTTTCGCTTTATAACATAGATTTATTTTAAAGGTCTATGAGTAGAATGCCAAATATTTAGCTTTTCAAAACAATATTTCAATTTTTACTCACATATTTAAAATCAGAAGCTTAAACTTCTACAAGAATAATAAAACTTCTAAATGACACTTTTAATTCTAATCATCATTTTAATCTAGATTTTAAATTTTGGAACAGTTGAATGAGAAAAAAAAAACATGGCATTGATGAAAATCTATTTAAGTTACCGGGAGTAATAAGAGCATTATCAACTATATTCTATATGTTACTCCATAATAGAATTTGAAGTAAAAAATATTTTTATTTCATTTCATTTTCTATTCTATAGTAAAGTAAATCATGGATTTTACTCTATAAATAGAAGACTATTTTTTTTTGTTTATTTCTTTTTTAACTCTAAAAATGAAAGGAACTGGAGACTGGAATTAACTCTATTTTTTAAGGAAAAATAAATTTTACTTGGAGATGATTTAACTGACTCAAATGAAGTATCATTACATATATCCTCATATATTATAGATTTTTATTTCTTTCTTTTGTTCAAATATTAACTTTTCTTTCCATCTCTTATTTTTTTTTGTAGTAAATGATTTTCCTCCATATTTGTAAAGGCCTACACGTGCATCACACCCTCTCTGTCTTTTGGTCCATTAAAGAGTGTTATGGTTTTCAGAGATCACAAGGCAAACCGCTCTTTTTTTCTCTACCGCTTTTCGTGACCTTAATAAAATATCAATACGCTTCTTCTTTCATATTTCTGTCACTCGAATTTTTTTACGGAAAATGACCGATGCCATCATCTCAAATTTGTTTACGAAAATGATCAATGCTATTTTTGTGTTTGAAATTAATGGGTTTGACAAACGAAAAAGTTTATGCAGTGATAAGCTTAATTTGTACTCCCTTCGGTTTTTATACAAAATGTTTTAAGAAAAAAAATTTGTTCTAAATTATATGATGTTTCAGTTTTCTATGTAAGATTTATTAACAACTAATTTATATGATCAATGATAATATATTTTCTATTTCATTATTGGTTGAATTATACCCACGTAAATAATTAATGATGTTTTTGTTTAGAATATTTAAAAACAATTATTTTCTTAATTTATGTCATAATCCTAAAACGACTATTATTAAAAACGGAGTTAAGACCAGTTTCTCATTTTGATGAAAATATAAAATGACAAATCTGCACTATTTTGGAAAAGTAAAGATATAAGTAATATCAATACAAATTTGAAAATATTATTTATAATTTTGTTTTAATATTATTTTTAAAAAAAAGTTGATCCTTAAATTTTTCTAATTACTTGATCTTTAAACTTTTATTTAATTTTAGATATAGTTTTATAAAATTATTAATAACTTTATTAATCTCAACAATATTATTTGAGAAGTCAGTTTTTTTACGTATCACGTTCACACTAATTATTAAAATAGTTAATTATAATGATATCTTGATAAATTAAAAATATAAATAATGTCATTATTAAAGTTTTCTTCTCTTTTTTTGAATTTATGTACATTCACTTTCTAAATGTGAGGCAACACAGAAAACTGCATTGAACATGTAACATGTTCTTAGAAAGAAAACAATAGACTGTATGTTGGTGAAATGTAAATCTGGAATTCATTCAAGAAATAATCTATATAGAGAATAATGACATCTAAAAGTTAAAATTGAGAATAAATAAACAACACATAAGGATATCTAAAATGGAACCGGCAATTTTGTTTTAGTTTTAAGCCACCAACGTAAACTTGTGAAAAGTACCTTTAACGGAAATAATAGGATCAGAAATATATAAATTATCATTACATGGTGGTATTTGCATGAATAAAACTAAATATCTCCTGGATCGAACTTGCAATGTCTTCTGCCGTGAATCTTGTCTCACTTGTAATCTGCACTTGTTGTACATCACACTATCTTGTTAGCCTTTAGCATTTTTGCTACAAATTTACTTTATAACAACAAAAAATAACTCTTTTTCAAAACAAAAAAAAAGCTATGCAAATACATAATACACCGCGCGTTTGTGACTCCTAATGATGTTCTCTTCTCTGTATCAAAACCTGTAACTAGGTGCTGCTGTAACTAAAGCTATTTCTTTATATTTAGTACTGCCCTAAAATTTGTTAAATAAAATAAGCAATTATACCTTAGCATAAATGATGCGCTCAGAAAGTTTATACAGTATGTATTATAATGCAAGCAAGTGAAACCTACCTTGACATTGAAGGAGTAGAGGACGGTTTGTTCCATGGTAGTGATGTTAGTGTGAAGAATAGAGAGATGAAGATCCTCCAAAGCAGCTATAGTCTTAATCAGTTGTCCTGGTCTTCTTCTTGAAAGTATCTTGATCATGGCGTCAAACCCTAGCAGCTTCACCTCCACATCAGCCAAACACGACTTATTCTCTGCTATCTCCTCCCGAAGTCCTCCTCCACCCTCTAAGTCGGTTACATTTCCGGTAATAATCAGGGGATTATTAACCGACGCTATGGGAGAAGAAGTAGTCGTTGTCGTAGTCATGTCCCCAAGATGCCTATTCCCAGTTTCTCCCAAGATTCTCCGACGCTTCTGTGATTCCAGACATTGTAGGAGTTGCTCAAGCTCTCGTACAAACTCTATTGCTCCTCCAATGATCGACGCTTGATCTCCCTATTATATTTCATGCATTATTTATTATTTTTCTTAAAAAGTTTTAGAAATTCCTTGCTAGTTACATACATAATATATATATATATATATATATATATATATATATATATAAATATATATATGATAACACAATCACAAAACTAAAATGCTATTTTTTAAAAAAGTTTTAGAAATTCCTAGCTAGTTATATATATATGATAACAAAAATAAAATACATGTGTAATAAATAAAATACCCTTTGGACGTAGGATCCAGGCATGAGAGACCTGAGTACGCGAAGATGCTCGTTCATTTGCTTCCTACGGTTCCTCTCGACCGCGATATGAGTCATTCTTTGGCTTTCCACTTCTTCGCTAGTTTTGCTTGTTCTAGCTCTCTTCCTCTTGCTCTTCACCTCCTTTGTCATAACATTTTTGTTCTCCAAATCTTCTTCTTCTCCTCCTCCAATAAAACGGAGTTGCACGGAGTTGTTATCATTCTCATCTTCTTGGTTGTTCTCCTTTTCTTCTAGAAACACGTTTCCTTCACACTGATCACCTCTTTCTTGAGACAAGAGCTGATGAGTTTCGTTATGATCCTCAATCTTATCGTTCAAGACTGGGAACTTTAAGAAATAAACCGGGTCCACCCCCGGCCCGGTTTCTTGATCGTCTTTGTTTCTGGTCTGGTTCAACGCCAGTTTCGGACCGAAGTCCGCAAACTGCATCACGTCTGCGAAGCTCATTTTATCAAAAGTTGGCGCTGCTCCGAATCCAGAAGGAGAGAGTTGATGCTGCTGCGGAGTTGATTGCTTTTGTTGCTCAAGGTTTCTGTTGAACATGTAGTCTATCATACCAGAGCTACTATCATCGTTACCGCCTGAGGATTCACCTAAGAAATTCGGTGCCTGAAAGAGACCGGAGAATCAATTGTTGATATCAAAAGTAACATAAACTGACTCATATATACAAATATATCACACATATATTATTATATGTAGGAGAAGAAATCAATGATTAAGATATATACAAGGAGAGCGTATCGTACCGAGTAATCTTTATCCATTGCTATTCGTACTTGATTATAAACGTCTGAACTTTTAAGGATAGTTAAGGTTTAGCTTCTTGACTCCAACACGACCTAACAACAACAATCCATGAGAATCAGAGTCAGTTAAAAACATATACATGAAAAAGCACCACACGTTAGATCAAGTTAAAGACCAAACTTATGTCTTATACAAAATGTTTTAAAGCTGAATTATGAAAATAACAAAGTGATTTAAAACCAAAATTTAGAACTTGTTTACTATGGGGTTGATGAAATAAAAGAGGCCTGACCTTGTACTATTTACTAGGGCTTACGAGAGATGTATATAAAAGACATGCAAAAGTAGCAAAAGATACACGAGATACAAATGAGCAACCACTACCAAACTCCCATATATATAAACGTACGCATATATATACATAGTATATATATAGAGAGAGACATTTGTTGCATAATTGAGTATAGCAAGGGGCATCAAAGTTAATAAGTGTCAGTACATTCTTAATAGTTCATTAGTATAATTAACACCTCCCAAGATGTTTGTATAAAGTAACTAAAAAAATAATATATTTACAATTTAGGTTATCTTCACAAAATAATTGAAAATATTGTCGTCCAGCTAGTTACATAAATCCTTAAAATTATTGCAATGTTTTTTGCTATATTAATTTTTAAAGATGACACACTATATTATTTTTCCTCAAACTAATCTACTTATTAGCTAATTTGCCAATTAACCAAGAAATAAACTATAGAGCTTGGCTTTTTTGTGTTTTTTCTTGTATTTACTAACTAGTAAGAAGCAAAAAGAGTTGATGGATTATGGTTATCACAGTTTCCATGGTTATTTTTTGAATTGGAGATCTATTCTTTTTCAAATATATTTTTTCTTACAATTATCTTTTTGAAAGTCAAATTCAAAATGAAGATCTAGAGCTCTTTACAAGTTCTTTCGAATTAAACACCGAGTCAAATGAGTGATTATTGAATTTTCCAAACCATATCTTGCTTCTGTAATAAATATGATATATATTTTTTTCTTTATCTGCAAACGTAAGACAGCTAGAGGAGCCACAAATAAAGAAAAAGGGAGAACCGTGAAAACACACGTGTATCACCTCTCTTTCGATTTGGAACCATTGAATCGTAGATAACTTTCGGAGCTCACAAGCAAAGCCAAAACCGCTCTTCTTTTTCTACCGCTTTTTCGTGAACTTAATCAATCTTTCTACGCGTCTCCAATATTTATTTCTATCATTTCATATTGAAATACTTTGTAGTATAATATTTTTCACGAAAATGACATATGCTGTTTGTGTGTGTTGTGGAGACATGTGATTTTATCATTTTATTTTCTTTTGGTCGCCAGACATGTGAGTTTAATAAGGACATGGGTGTATATTGTATAGATATATATGAAAATTGTTCAATAATATTTTTAATCATCGACATCTAGTAGTAAATTTCTTTGGACATTCTATTTTTTCTTCTTCTTTGGATGCTCAAACAAATTAATTCCATCCGCCATATATAAAGGTGAAGTTAGAGAAAAAAATGTGAAAAGTATTCATGAAAACAAAATATTTATCCTCAAGAAAGTGATTTGAGAAAATTTTGTTTTTATTCCTATAAGTTGTATTTAGAATTTAAGTAGTAAACTATTTTTGTCTTTTTATCATCTAGTAAATATAGTATATATAGGTTTTCTTTAACTGTTTTTGGACGGGCAAAGTCCAACCCAATAGCCACAATTATCCTATAATACACGCACCCATGTGTATTGAGTCGAACCTCGGCGTGGGTAAACGTAGAAGTAGTGATCACTTGACTTAGCTAAATAGTAAATACACATCCTCAATGTTATAGTAATATATTATCATTATTTCATATCTTTGTTTTTTTTTCATTTCTTTGACTTCTTTATTGTTATGCTAAATCACCTTTCAGTATTAAACTTCAAAGATTAAGATTGATAGCATTACATTGTATATACAAACATACATTAAAATTACCTATAACATGGACATATTTATGCGTGTGTAATCAAACTTTATACTAGAATATGTAAGCTATAAACTATTAGTCAAAACCTCAACAGATTAAGGCAGCTTCATTATAATATGTTTATAATAAATTTGACTATTGAGAATAAAAAGCTTAACATAATCTCGAAGTTTTTAATTATATGATATTTTATGATTTGTAAATTATCATCAAAATTGTCACAGAAGGTTGTAGGGAGCGGTGGGTATTCATCATAAGAAAATGTCTACTCCAGGGTTAAATCGTCAGTTGATGCTTCCTTGCAAAAGGTTGCTTAGAGCATTTACATCAATGAATCCCCCTTGGGGTTCATATGTATTTTTTATTATGTTTTGGTGGGATCTTGAATAGTGATGAACTCGAATAAATTGTGCCTCTACATCAATGAACCTCAAACCGGGTTTATAGGAATAAAATAATAATTTTTCTTTTAAAATGCTATTTTTAATTTTGAAAAATTAATTTTCCCTATAGATAGGAAGAAAATTATTCAATAATTGAGAATTACTAAAACTTACATTGAGAATTCATAAACTTAAAAAATAATTTTTAAAAATTTTTATTCAATACATTGAGAATCCATAAATATACAAAGATTATTCATCTTGATTACCATATTTTTGCCTTACATTTTCAACTAAATCAGCTTTCAAACATGCATGTGTATGTGAATCTCGAATTTCATTGCGAATGCCAAGCATATTCCCGATATTCACAGATGATGTCGGTTGAACTTCAGAGCTTCTGCTTGAGTCTCTTGCTTCGAACTCATATGTATCATACTGAGTGTATCCGTCTCGTTCGTCCTCTACTATCATATTGTGCAGTATGACACAAGCTCTCATAACCCTTCCTATTTTTTCTTTCTCCCATTGTCGAGATGAGTTCTTAACCACTGCAAACCGTGCTTGCAATACTCCAAATGCGCGTTCGACATCTTTTCTAGTGGATTCCTGACGTTCAGCAAATAGCGCCGCTTTAGGACTTTGAGGAAGTGGGATGGATTGGATGAATGTTGACCATTTCGGATAAATACCGTCTGTAAGGTAGTAGGCCATACGATAAATGTGATTGTTGACCTTGAATTTAACTTTAGGAGCTCGACCTTGTAAAATGTCATCAAATACTGGAGACCTATCGAGAACATTGATATCCTTGAGGGTACCTGGTAATCCGAAAAATGTGTGCCAAATCCAAAGATCATGTGATGCTACAGCCTCTAAGAAAATTGTCGGCTTTGCGGAACCACATGTGTACTGTCCTCTCCAAGCCGTTGGGCAGTTTTTCCCCTCCCAATGCATACAGTCGATGCTGCCTATCATTCCTGGAAACCCGCGTGCTTCTCCAACATCGAGTAATTTTTGAAGATATTCCGGTGTAGGTCTTCGTAAATACTCATCTCCAAACAAGTCTATTATCGCTTCCGTGAAATGATCCAAACACAAAAGTGCAGTACTTGCCGCAAGTCGGAGATATTCGTCATACGAATCTGCCGCTTGACTATATGCGAGCATCCGGATAGCAAAAGTACTTTTTTTATAGTGGAGATAGCCCGAACCGTCTTTGACCATTTCTTCGTTGCTGAAAGTAAGGAACTTCATTACTTAGGCGATCGACAATGCGAAGAAACAAAGGCTTGTTCATTCGAAAACGCCTCATAAACATTTCGGGTGGGTATGTAGGATTTTCACTAAAATAGTCTTGCCATAATTGCATGTGTCCTTGTTCCCGATTTCTTTCGATATAGGCTCGTCTTTTCTGCTGGTGTGCTTGAACATCAACAACAGAGTCGATGAAATCATCAATTTGTTGGTCGACCATGTCTTCAAAAACCTCATATTCTTCATCATTTGAAGAGCTTGACATTATGGTTCCTGGAAAATATATCGAAAATCATTTTTAAAATTTCAGTATCGCAATTTTTTAGAAAAATTGTGTGAAAAATGGAACATGATAATTAAACATGACTATAATGAATTTTTGTATCACTTATGAGCATATAAAGAAAAACTCGATATTGTTAATTTTTGTATCATTTAGGAGCATTTAAAATAAAACTCTATATTGTAAATTTTTAAAATTTTTATAAAACCAAACCTCCACAATTTTTTATATTGTAAATTTTTTAAAAATGTAAAACCACAATAATGAATTTTTGTATCACTTAGGAGCATTTAAAAAAACTCTATATTGTAAATTTTTAAAATTTAAAAAAACCAAACATATGGTCACATTTTCATAAGTGCAACGAACTTGCACTTACCTTGTGTTGTTTGTGATTCTTGTGTTGCACTTGTGTAGAACTTTTGTTTGTGATTCTTGTGTTGCACTTGTGTTGTTTGTGATTCTTGTGTTGCTCTTGTATAACTTGTGATTCTTGTGTAAAACTAAGAAAGAAATCTCTTGAGAATTTGGGATACAAATATAAACGTAGAGAGGATAAAGAAGAACTTCAGTTTTCATTTAAGTTGCATACATGAAGTGAGCATATTTATATATGCTAGTTTGACAAACTCGTGATGAGTTTTAAAGTAGAACCCGTGAACAACTACAGACATAGCAGTGTAGAAAGCTACAAAATACTACACTGCTTCCGTGAAACAACAGCAACAACAGACATACAAATACAAGAAAGATAAAGCAGCAACAGAGATAAAGCAGCAACCCGTGATCAAGCCTTCATGTCATGCCCGTGACCTGCAAAGGAATAACCAAACAAGTTAATAATTGACTCAACTAAATAATTAAAACAAAACAGATTCAAGCAAGCAAGGTATAGTTAACACAATCAACCATTTCGGAAAGCAGTTTGTTTTTCAGAGTGATTTCAAGTGGAGATAATTCAGTGTCTTTCTTGGCTAGGAGACGCTCTAGGAGTTTTTCTTCTGATATTTTTTGTTTGGCAGCGAGGATCCTCTCAATCTGATCGAAAGCAGCTTCATTGCCATGCTTCTTGCGTTTGGCTGCCTTGGCAGCCTTAACACCAGGCGGCCTGACCTCCTCTTCAGGCATCACCTCCTCTGTTTCCTTCCTTTTCTCCTTCGAAGTATCTCTAGACTTTGACAATGACTTCCATTTCTGATCATATCGCAACTCCCTCCAGCAGTGTTCCATGGCGAACTTGACTTGGTAATCATTGAAGAAGATGTCATGAGCAGCATTCAAGACATCATTCTCACTGTGACCACTTCCTGTGTCCTTCTGAACCGCCTCATAACACCCCACAAACTTGCACACCTGCTCGTTAATCCTCCCCAACCTCTGCTTGCACTGACTCCACTCTCTAGGAAGGGAGCCAGTGAGCTGAGGGCTCGAGTTGAAGTACTCCTCGATTCTCTTCCAAAAGCTACCCCCCTTCTGCTCGTTACTAACGATAGGATCCTTGCTTGTGTTTAACCACCCACTGATGAGAACAAGGTCTTCCTTTGTTGACCACTTTCTCTTGGTCAAGGGTTTATCTAACCCGGGAGAGTGACCAACTGCCTCAGCATAGTCCAGGTCTATTACTGGACTGCTTTGCGAAGCAAGTAGGTCAATAAACCCGGATTGGGAAAAAAGATCCATTTACGTGTTGGTTAAGGTTATTTTGTTTTCAAGGTTGGTGTTTTAGGTTAATTTGTTTTCAGAAGTTGAAGTTGATTTGGGTGTTTTAAACTAGTTGTAGATTTGGTAGGAGAGAACAATTGAACTCTACCTACCAAACATTCATTATCGAACTTATTACACAACAACTACTCTACAAACAACAGTCATTAGACATCAAATCGAGTACTTAATATTAGCAACTACTAAATAAATTCAACTACTTAATACAAGCAAAGAAACCAACCAACATACTGATAATTAATTGCAGTGTACTTCTCGTTATAGGTCTAGTTAACATAAATAAAACACTTTAACTTTTTTTCAAACCGAAAGTAGTTTTTTTCCAGAAAACACTTTAATTTTTTTTTCAAAATCAAACTAGTTCTGTTGTAGTCTTAATTTTAATAAGAAATTACCTTCTTTTATCACTCGTAGCATATCTTCTCCAGGTTAGCGACATCGACAGTGAGGTTTCTAACCTGTTCCTGGCCATGAAAACAACAATATCATAGTATTAGAGTTTGTATCTCTACATAAGTATAATGACACAGTGTTATAGAGATGAAAGAGCAAGTAAAAAAAAGTTACCTCCAGTATCTCTATCCGTTTACTGATACTCAACACCCCATCGATCACCTGCTCAGCCTCCTCCACACGTTTACTCAGTCTTTGGATCTCCTCCTGGACAGCAACCAACCAAGGATGACGGTAATGCAACCCATCATCCTTGATGAGAACAGGAAAACATAAAACAGAAAGTTAGAGAAGCATTTTTTATTAACAACTAAATTTTTAAGAGAGAGTTCGAGAACCATTACCTCATAGTTTACGCAGGTGAAGAACCTCTTTCCGGGAAGTGTGTCATACACTTCCTTCCCCCGAAGCTCTTGAATGATTCTACCACCGCAAGCACACTTCTTGGGAATACCGTATAGTGAATCCGGCGACGAACCCTAACATCTCGTAGTGCTCCTTTTGATTCTTTGTATTTCGTCTCTCATCTGAAAGATCCATCTGCACCAGAAACTAAAATAGTTAGAACTAAATTAAATAAGCACTATCACTCAACAAAATTAAAAGAACACTTAACAGAGATAGTTCTTATGATCACGAAAAAAAATTATGGTTTTCAAGTCCCTGTGATCAGTTTTTAAAACAAACAGTTCTTTAATAAAATCATTCAAACAATTAAATGTTTTTAATCAAATCTTAAAAACGAGATTCTAAACTTTTATAACAGAATCATTCAAAGGGTTTTAATAATTCTTAAAACCAGATTAGAAAAAAAAATCATGCAATCAATCTTTAAAAGAATTAGGTTTAAACTTTTAGGATTTCGGTGTAAGGTTTCAATTCCCATACAAAAGAACCCTAAATCAAACCCCATTTACGATTTGGAACCCTATTTCGAAAAACCCCAAATCGAGAAAATCACATATATACGAACCCTAAATCAAACCACCATGACGAGAAACAACCCTAAATCGAATCCCCTAATCGATTAAGACCCCTATCAAAGAAACCCCCAAATCGATTTTACATCCGAGACTCGAAACCCTAAATCGACATAAACTTGTCAATTGAACCGTGAATCTACACGACAACGCACCTGAGATCGATGAGGAGGTACTCCGTCGTCGATTTGATGGAGATTTTTGGAGTGGATCGTCGTCGCACTCAAAATCGCCTCTCGAGACGAAACCCTAGTTTTTTTTAAAGGAAGAGGAAATGACGAGATTCACGAGAGATGCCTTCTTTCTGCCTCGACAAAGCGCGTCCAAGAAGCCACTCTCTCCTTGACATGTGCTATGAACCCGAGTCATACAGGATCTCCTCCGCGGCCCGGTTCATCAATTATCACCCATTTTTCATTTAAATTAAACCCAAAAACCCAATGAACCCCAGCCCATGAACCCCTAAAGAACCTTCAATGTATATGCTCTTATTGTCTACTTTTACTTAAGAGGGAATCTTCTGTAAAATGACCCATTATGACAAAAGGTTTTACAATTTTAACCGTGTGAAATGTGAAATTAATAAAGATTTTTTTTCAGTTGTTTTCATTTGAAGTATGTTCCATAATTTAATTTTGTAATTATTTTCAAAAACTAAAAAGACTAACTAGATTAGAAAAAATTGATTAACTTACCTCGTTAAACTTCATCGATGATTTTTATAATTGATTTTAATTTTGTTTAGAAGCGTTCGATCTGTAGGTGATGCATTATTTAGTAGACGGTCTCTTTATATATATTTCAAAAATATAACAAATTGCAGATCTACGTGTTAAGATAGATGAACTTTTAAACTAATACTAATTGATGATAAGTGGATTGCTTCATTTATTTTATATAGATATATAGAATCTTTTTCAACTACCGATGTACTACATTTGTGCCTAATATATTCCTTCGAGATGATAGTTCTTTAAGCGTCAATTTCAAAATGTTTAGGCAAGGATCGATGTGCCGAGTTTGAGTTGGATCGATAATGAAGCGGGTTGAACTGCATGGATCGCGGATTCTGATATCATGTTAAGGGAAATGAGCTTCCAACCTAAAAACAATTGGTGATAAGTGAATTAATCCATCTATATTGTATAATACATAGAATTCCTTCTAACTACCGATATGGGACCTTTGTCCCTAATACTACAAACTTATATCTAAGATATCAAGCCTGAGAAACAATGCATTGTCTTTTAGATCAACAAACAAAGACCAAGTGTTTTCTATAGTTACGAGAACCATTATATTAAGAGATAAATCTATATTATGTAGATAATTTTACACTTTATTCACTGCTTTTGGACCCCAAAAAAATGGATAATATGAGTTGAGAGTTCCTTGTTAATTCAAGTAAAAAGGAAGGCTTGTGTTGTTGATGAAGAGATCAAATATGAGAATTTTCTTCGTATGTTGAGTGCAAACCATGTAGACATTAAAAACGTATTGTCAGAAAGAATGTTGCTATTGATTTTGATTGTTTGCGAAGCTATGAAGCAATCACAACTGTGAAAGAAGAACTATTAAAGATGGTGACACATTTAGTGATGAGAAAGAACTAATTAGTAAATTACGGGATCATTTAACAATTGAAAGCTTTAGGGTCTGATTGGTTCTTCCGCCATCACCCGCAAACGTAGGTTTTGCGGTTGGTAGCGGTTGTTTGCATTTTGCAACAATCGCAGAAAACGCTATAAACTGCTTCAAATTGTTCTGCATCTCTAAAACTCAAAAGCTGGTTTCAGCTAGCGCTTGCGGTTGCGGGAGATAAAAAAAAAAAAATTTTCCAAAAAACTATATAAATATAAAAATAAAATATTCAATTAAAATAATTAAAATGCTGAAATATTTATATTATAAAATTTCCAAAAAAGTTTTATTTAATTTTTAAAAATTTTATATTGCAAATTTTTCAATAAAATTTTTATATTTATCATGAAAATATGATTTTAATATTTTGATAATTATATAAAATATAAATATTGTTAATTTATTACTTAACTGATGTTATATTTGATGATAAACCAGTTATAAGTATCTCGCAAACGCAACAATTTTTAACCGTTGAGCCAGTCGTAAAAATCTCTTACTAACGCTTAAAACTGCAATCTCCCGCATCCGCAAACACCCGCAACCGCAACCACAATCGCTGCGTTGTAACCAGTCAGACCCTTAGTTTCAACATCAAGACATCTTGGCAACATGTATTTTTGAAATGTTTTGTTCCTGGAGCATCTGGAGGATTTTTGCTTCAATTATTTCAAGATCATTTCTAGAATTCCTCGTAGTTCGTAAATATGTAGATTTTCATATATGTTTGACAAAAAAAAAAGAAAAAAAAAGATTTTCATATATATTTTTGTGGTTTATAGGTACAATAAAACTTCTATAAATTAATATTGTTGGAATTACATAAAATTTATAATTTTTGTTAAATTATAGAAATTATTAATTTATCGATATACTAATTGAACCAAAAACTCAATTTAAAATTATATTATTTTATAAAAACTTAAAAACTTTTAGTATTAACTTAAAGAGATTATACTGTATTTTTGTTACAACCAAGCAAATGCAAATTGTATTGGGAGGTCGTAGGTTGAAGAATTTACTGGTGAGTGGTGATAATGGTTAAAGGAATCCGGGTTTTTTTTTAAAAGGTTTGGACTGGTTTTAATCACTGTTTATTTAGTTCGTATGAGCCTTGGTCTTTCAGGTCGCTTTATTTTCTTCTTCAATATTTTTTTTTTTGGGCTCAGTTTTCTTCTTCTACTTTATTCACCTTTGTCTTTTTAATAAATTCAGATGACAAAAAAAAAGAAGCAAATGTTACCGTTCAACATTTTATCTGTAGTTATGGTTTTGAGTTTGTTCCCTTTGTATTGAATCTCTACATTGTTTACTCTTCATGGAAGTAGTTGGAGTTGTAGAATCCATTGTAAAAACTTTCTTTTGTCTGGCCCCAAGTGTGCCACTCTGAAGAATGGCTTTGAATTTATGATATAGTCCAACAACAACTTCATCAAAACTCGAACGTGAGCCGATTGAAACATTCCACCAGGAACCATCAACGTGTTTAAACAGATTTGCACTAACAAAAGCCAAACTGGTGAAGATACTTTCTCATCCGTATTGCCTATTGATGTTAACAGAGTAGATTTGATGATCGATCAAGAGAGTCAATAATATCAACCAATAAAACCTGAGACTTTTACAAGATTTGAGCAAATCCCTAAAGAAAGTCTTCACAAAACGTTTTGAGCTTTTTAACTCTCGAATATGAATGCTGACCTTCATAATTTGAAAACGAATCATCTTTCTTCTTCACCTCAGAGAACAAACATAACTCTTCTGGCTTCCTTCCTTGGTAAGCCCGGCTAGATCCAACATCTATTCTTGTGGAGGGTGGATCTGAAGAAGATACACCAAGCCTCAAGGACAAATCACAGAACCTCTCTGTTCTTTCTTCCGGAGCCTTTATACTAACAGGCATGCCAATGATTATAGGCGTCTTAGGGGATCTTAAAGACATGTCCACTTGCTGAGTCTGATTATTATCACCTCCGTAGTATAAAGGATACACCGAACCCAAGTTGATCGGCGCTGGTGCTGGAGGATTGCAAGTCTCTAGCTTTCTAGCCAATGGCTTCTGATGCACCTGTAGAAAAGGGTAACCGGGACGAGGAGCAGCAGAAGCTACGCCCTTGTTACTGTCATCAAGAACAGCCACTGGGACTACAGGTTGAGCAGTAAAAGTTGGCTTATTGGAGTTTTGAGTTTGATGATGGTGATATTGCGGCTCATTAGCAGGTACAGACACAGGTTCTTGGATTTTCGGACAGAGGTAAGTCCTTACGTTACTATGTCGTTGGCTTCTTGAAGCTCTTACTGCAATGCATCCAAGGTTAAGAGCAGCTGACCACAGTTAAAAAAAAAACACCACAATCAAATAAACAGTACAAACCACAAGTATGTTAAATCCCCAAAACAGTAACTTTCTGAAGAGTTAAAAAAAGAGGCATCTAAGATACCTTCAACACAAGGAGGCAAAAGAGGGCCAGTTTCAGTGCTTTCATCTCTTCTAATAATAGTGTCAACGGCATCACTAACTCTATTCCACATAGTTTCAGCATCTGTATACTCTTCCTAATAACAAACCCAAAATTCAGCAAGATTCTGATATGAAAACACAGAAGAACACTTGGTAAGAAAAAGAAGGACCTCAGAGTTGGCTTTAGAGTACATGATTTCCTCAGCTTTCAAGACAACAACAGGAAGCTTCTCCTGCCATTCTTTGTTCTTCCTCGTAGCGGCACTGTGTGTTTCCATAGCGAGTCTGAAAACCCTCAAAGATTTAGAAAACCCTAACAAAAGAGTGTTGTTAATTGAGAGAGAGTTAAAGGAGGAAACCTGAAGATCTGGCGGATGATGGAACCACGAATGGGTTGGTGACGATCGCTATGCCAAGCTCGTTTCACACACTCGTAAGGTCTTGGACCAGGCCGAGGCATATCTTCTTCTTCTAAGAATCACCGATCAAAGGGATTGGGAAGAGGGAGAAGCTTTGAAACAGATCTGAAAACTTATAAAGGAGGAGGTCTCCATGTTATGTTGGTTTGGAATATCAGTTTTTTACTGCGTCTCCATCGTCACCGTCACGGAGTTGCTGCTTTATGATTTTGGGACCAGTTCTCTCTAAAACCCGAACCTGTTTTTATGATTTGCCAGATAAGGTTGTTCTTCTTTAACTGTCATTTTCGTTGCACAAAAAAAAAAAAAACTGTCCTTTTCAAATAAGAGGCAGGTGGTGGGTTCGAAGTCGCTTAAAAGGAAAACGGAATGCAATTAAACCGTACCAAAACGATTCTTTTCAGACCGAAGAAACAAGATCAAATTTAAAATTTACTCTTACTTCTTCAACCGTTAAACGGGTTTAACTTTTTGGACCGACTAACCATTTAAACTGACCCAAAGCCGGTGTAGTTAGGAATATCGTTTTTTTATCAACAAGAATACCGTACAACTAGGTGTTTTGCCCGCACTTGCGGGCATAATTATCTTATAAATATTTATTGGCTGATGTTTCATTAATTTTAAAACCAGCATAATAAATTATTAGTTATGTTTTCAAAATGTACAAATGAAACATCAAATAATTATCAATGACAAAACTTAAACATCGAAAATGTTTAAAAGAATATATTTCTATAATTATTATGCTTGATTGATATTTAATTATAATATTTACAAATATTGTTAATTAATTTATAATTCTTAATTTTAAATTTTATAACAGAAAAACATATTTTCAAGATAACAATATAATGGATAAGTTATTTATTTTCTAAAAATATAATATGCTAAATTTGTTTTAATTATATAATAATTATATAAGATTATAGAAATTATGACATATAATTAAAATTACCTAAAATCATCGAGAACTTAATGAATCAACAAATTCACTTCTTAAATAATTTTTCTTGAGTGATGATTTATATTTAATTAATAATATATTATTTTTATATTTTACTTTTAAATTATATAATATAAAAATATATTTTCAAGATAACAACATAATTACCTTATTTTATAAAAATATACTATTATTAGTGTAAAATTATTTCAATTATAGAATAACTACAATTTTTTATATTTTAAATTTTAAATTTCTAATAGAAAAATATATTTTCAAGAGAACAACTTAATACATAAGAAGTATCTTATTTTCTAAAATCTGATACTACTAATATAATTTTTTTTATAAATATATATATAAAATCATATATAAAATTATAGAAATTATCATAAATTATTAAAAATAACTAAAATCATGGAAAATATGACAAATCAACTTAAGTTTTATATATAAAATATATTTCAAGATAACAACATAATTCACAAGAATTATCTTATTTTCTAAAATATGATATATTCATATAATAGTATAGATAACTTATTTTCTAAAATATCATATTGTTAATATAAATTTAAAATTTAAGTTTTATATATAAAATATATTTCAAGATAACAACATAATTCACAAGAATTATCTTATTTTCTAAAATATGATATATTCATATAAATTCGTTTTATTTATAAATAAATTATATATAAATATTAAAATATGATAAATAAATAAAATTACCTAAACTTATGGAGAACATGACAACTAAGCAAATTTACTTCTTAAATAATAGTATAGATTCATAAAAAACATATATACATAAATGTGTATTAAAATTTAAATTTAAATTCATAAAAACATATATACATAAATGTGTATGAAACATAAATTTAATTTCTTTTGCCACAAATATAGGCTTTAAAACTAAAAATAATCAAAACAGACTCAAATATTTTATTAAAAATAAGTAAATATACACTTATATCATTTGGGTTAAATAATCTTAAACATTTTTGTTTAGAGTTGTAGAGTGGGATTTTGAGATAAGATTTCAAATTTTAAAAAATAAAAATGTTAAAATTTTAAAATAAAAATGAGATTTTGATCATTTTAATTTTGTAACTCTATTTTGTGATAAAAATTTTAAAAAGTTTATTTAGATGTTTGTCTTAAATGTATGAGAGTAAATACTTATATTGTTTGTTTATCTAAAATTGGACATAGTCTTAAAAACAAAAATTTGGTTATAATATTGACATTTTTCTTAGGAAAATAAAATTACAGAACCCAGAAAATGAAAAGTTAATGTATGTTCTTTCCGAATAAATTCACACAATTTAATTTTCTTATGATATATCATAATGTTTAGTTTAAAAAAAAGAAGATATCAGATAAGTTAAACCGAACTGAAAACCGGAATGGACCGATATTTTGACTGTATACTATACGACATCGTATAGAAGCAAAGGTGTGTCTACCACTACGATCCTGAAATCTGGCTCGTCCCTCCTCCATTAAAACAGCTTCGCCTGATTACATTAAACTCCGATCTCTTTCCATCTCTCTCTTTGCCCGTCTGTCGACTCTCTTCTCAAAGATGCAAGCTTTATACATATTCGTCGTCTCTCTGCTTCTCACCCTTAATTCCAAGGTTCTTTTTCTTTTACTCTTCCAATCTTGTATAAATCTCTGACTTTTAATTTTATTGATGAATTGGATCGACGTTTTGTTACAGGGAGAAGCTACTGGCTCTGTTTTCTTCATTGATGGATCCAACAACCAATACCTTCGTCCATCATCAGAGCAGGTAATCATTTTCCATTGCCTCTTTGGACTTTTTGGAGATCTTATTTGATGATTGTGTACTTCAAATCTAAGATCTTTGGCTTGAAAGGATACGACTTTCCTTGTTACTTCCACATTGGTCTTTCTTAGGAGATATGTTCACTCGTTTTGGTCGTATAGATCAGGTCAATGTAATAGGCTGAGACATTATTTCGTTGAAGTACTACAACTAAGATCTATTGTTTGGTCTCAGTGGAACCAAGTTGATGTTTTTTCGTGTGGTTTTTTTTTTTTTTTTGCTCTTGATGAACGATCACCAGATTTATTCCAAATTCATCTTTGAATCATTTTGAGCGTTTGGGTGGTTAATCACATTTTTTTTTGTATTCCTTTGATATGAAATACAACAGGCGCTTCCCATGTCGCTCTCTGAAGTATCTGCAGCAGTGTCTGCCTTGTTGGGTTTTGCACCTCCATCTACTTTAACAGCTGATGGCTCTTCCAAGGTTTTTTTACTACTCTGCTAAAATTTGTCTTTTCTATATTCTTGGTTAATTCATGTACTTGATCATCTGTTTTTTTTTTTCCTTGTTGTAGCTGAACAAGATTCTTAAACCTAATCCATTTGAGAGGCCTCGTGCTGCTTTTGTGCTAGAAATCGCTGGAGCTGATGGTATGCAAATAAAACAATCGAAAACTTTAGACCAAAATGCTTTTCATTCTAAAACATTCAAGTGTTTGTTTTTACTTGCAGATGCGCTTGTGGAAAGTCATTCTTTCTTGGGAAATGCCGTTAGAGGCAGTATCAGTTCTGATTCTTACAAAGCTGATATTGAACTTCCAGGTGCCGTGATAGCTTGAATTAGCACAACTATCTGATAAACATGAATAGTTTCTAGTTTTCTTCATTTGGGTTTAAGTCTTTCAAAAATTCTGCAGAAAGTGAAGTAGCTGTTGTGTCTGTCAATGAACCCTTATCTGATGCGACTGACAAAGACATGAATGAGTTTGTGAGTATACATGTCATTCTAAATTCAAATAATGTTGCCTGTCTTATTCATTTTAATGTGACCACTATGTGGCTATATTATCCATAGGCATCTTGGTTGGGTGGATCATATGTTGCTGGCTCAGCTGAACCATTGACTGGATTGCTGAGTATCCCTCTGGCTGGTGCGGCTAATGTTGAGTTCCATTTGGAAAAGGTGATATTTCCATGAAAGTATATATGAATTGCGTGTAGATATTTTGATTTCTGTTTGAAGAAGGCTGTTGACTTTTGTTTCCGTGGGCAGGAAGCAGAGAGGAAATTCGCTTTAAACCTTTTGGAGCTATATAAGAATATCAGACGGGCAGTCAACTTTCATGAGGATTTATCTCATGGTCTTGAGAGGCCTGCTGAATTAACAGTTGGACGCTTTAGCGGTATCAATGTAAGGGCATTTATTTGTCACTTGCTCTGTTTTTTTTTTTTGGTTCATTTCCTCACTGTCTTAGTTTTGATAAATGAATTGGAGAGTGGAAGTCAATGCTCAAGTAAAAATACATTCCTTGGGTCTCTAAAAAAACTTATGATTGGTTGTTGCTTGGGCACTCTTTTCGGGCTATAAGGAACCTTGTGATGTGTTTATCTCTTGAGCTTCATCTCAGTGATTTGTTCTCAGTTTTACGTGATCAAAACATCGGTAACTTGTAGACTTTACTTCTGTTTCACTTCATATTTTGGTTGAAAATGTCTCTACATTTTATTCAGCCATCTTGTTATTCAACTTAACTCCACTGTTGCTAATATCTTTTATTCTCTCTGGAAATTACAGGCTTTAGCACAGGAGTATGGACAAGGGATGGCCAAGCAAGGGATGGATGTGTTGCTTGCCACACTATCAAAGCTATTCGATCTGTTGGAAACATCTCATAAAGGTGAAATGAAACTTTCTCAATGGAAATACTATTATACTTAATCCTCTTAAATGTTTTTCTTTTTCATTATTGTTTGTATGAAATGTTTGGGTTCTCTTCCAGGCCAAATTGTTGGACTAATCGTCCTTGATGATAGAGTAAACCAAGAATCGGATAACCTGCTGAGCGTTGGGTCTTCTTCTCGTTCATCTGCAAGGTCGATGGCTGAGGTAGAGGGAATTCCGAGGCCAGCCATTATCGCGCAAGTTATACTTGTTAGGCTGACGCTTGCATGGTTAACTGGAATAATCCTTCTCATTGCAACTATCCTTGGGGTAAGTTCACATAACTCCTCATCATCTCTTCTATAAATGAACTACCAAGCAGATTCTCATCACTTCTTCCTTCTCATGGTCGTTGCAGGTGTACTTCCTTATGTACATGCCTTTGACGAAGGACACGCTCCTATACTCAAACGTGAAGCTCGATTAATACAAGATTCAGCCGCGTTTCTCAACTGGCCACATTTGAAACCAGTAGTCTTATTTGAATGTTTTTTAAGAGAAGGATGACAACTTTTTTGTGGCCAGACCAGTGGGATGTGTTTATGTGTATATTGACATAAGGTTGCATTCTCGGTTTTATAATTTATTTTCTTATTACATACATGTGGGTCATAATCCTAATCTTATAATAATAATAAAGAACAATTTGGACATCTCATACGGTATTCTGTTTCTTGTAATAGCTTTTTGATCATGGAATATGAATAGATTACTTCACAAGTAACTGCAAAAGCTCCACCAATTTCGTGTGGGTTATGTTGATATATGACATAGGGAGAGTTTTTTAAAAAATGTTGCATATATCTTAATTATATAAAAAAAAAATTATAAGAAACTTGATATATCAAACTTGATGCTTAATACTCCCTTTATAAGTGTCATTTTGACATTTTTTTTTATACATATTGAGGCGGAAATATATGTAAGATGTTATTAATTATATTTTTCTAACCAATAGTATTTGAGATAAATAAAATTATTTATAAAATTAATGTAGTTTTCAATTAATTTTTAGCTGAAAGTAAATAGTATAATTTGCATAGAAGTTGTAAAGTGACATTTTTTTTTACAACTAGAAAAAAATGTTAAAATAACATTTATTATGAAACAAAAGAACTATGATTTTAATACGTATGAAAATCTATCAGGGGTTGTGTTATCAGGAATATATCCTACTAGGAAATTTGTTCAGTTTATTACCTATTGCGATTCCGGTTCAGTTTATAACTTATCTTAAATTTTCTAATTTTTTAACATTAAAAGAACAAAATTCACATGTCCAAAAAAAGAACACAATCCCACCTGAATTAGGATAAAAAAGCCGACTTTTTAATTAAAAAAATAATGACAATAATTAAGATACACGCGCGTAGAGAAGAAAGATTAGGAATATTGCCTTTTTAGTTTTGGCTATATATAGGGCACAAGGTTAGTCTCGAGCTTTTCAACATAAGAAACAAAGGGCTCAGATAGCAAACCAAACAAATAAAAAGAGACTGCGAAAGCGAAAGATCGGAGGCGATTGCGAAGTGCATTATGGCATCCCTCGACGAGAATTTAGGGTTAACGGTTGAGTCACTCATGAGCTACTCTGAGGAGATCATTAAGCAACTGAGTCACTCGGAGTCGGGGATGGAATCGTTGCGGTCCTTGATTGATGCCTTCAATAACAAGCGAATCACAGTTAGCGTGTTCAAAGAGTCTCTTCAACTTTTGTTCGACAGCCATAAAAAGATCAAAGACGAAGGTGAGATCCGAGATAACCATGTTTCTGAGGTTAGGGCTAAAGTAGATGAGAACCCGAAGAAGAGTGGTCTCCACGTTAGGATTAGGGTTAGAATAAATGAAAACCCTAAAGAAGATGTTTCCGAGGGAAAAAAGAGAGGAATCACTCACTCAGAACCTATTGAGAAGACTGTGAAGAAACAGAGAAAGTCTAGGAGGTTAGGCCGAGTGACACCCAGCTACAAGCTTATCCCTGAGGAACAACAACTTCCTCTCCCAAACAACCCACACAAACCAGAACTGAACTGTCTGAACAACAAGTACTCTTTGGTGCAGTTTAACGTTGCTTCGGGACATAAGAAACAGACAAAGTACGAAGAAGCAATTGAGAGATGCGAAGATGAAATGTTTGAGACTGATATGTGGATTGGAGCTCATACAAGTGCAGTGGAGAATGCTGAGAAAGTAATAGCGGAGGAGATGAGCGTAGAAGATCTCGGAGTGAAGTTCTATAGATGCATCCAAGGGCTATACCGTCGAGATATGTCTAAGACTGTGAGAGAAGACCCCATGAAGGCTTTACCTGTCATTTTAATCCGGTTGAAGAAGAAGCTAGATGAGCTCACAGACGCTCAAGAAAGACGTAAGGCAGAGTGGAAGAGAGTCATTGAGGAAAACACAAGAAAGCAAAGAGAAGCCACACGCAAAAACTGAAGAAATTTTTAATCAGATTTTAGATAGCAATGAATGTATGACCCACGTGTTAGTTTCTTTTGGTTGTTATTAATGTTCCACTTAATATATGAAACAAGTTTTGTGAGTTTAGTAAACATCACACAGCTCTCTGATCAAACTAAATGTATATAAGTGTTTTTATGCAATTAACTTTTTTTAGATTTTGACGGTTGATAGACTCGTCTTAGGTTTGGATTTGTAGGCAGTGCGTCTGGTCACAGTCACGAATTCCCCTTGCAGATGACGGATGTATCCCAACCTGTGTGTTTTGTTCACACAACGTTAAATTTTATCCTTTGTTAGAGAAACTTCAAACTGTTTGATTTTATAACAAACCGTGCTGTCAAACTGTGCTTTGGTTGCCCCACACTTGAGCGAAGTTGCAATTCCCTGTAACCTCCACACCACCTTTAGAGGGAGTATTTGCCTAGGCCCTTACATATGTTAAACGTGTAAGTAGGTTTGTCGTTACAGCTCAGACAATTCTATGTATGGAAAACGACTTCCTAAAGTAATGGAATCTTCAAAACTCAAGGTCTAGATTTGACGCTATAAAGCCTGCGTGTGTGTCATTACATTTGGCTGACGTGGCTTATCGTAAAGCCAATGAAGTATAGTGAGAGATGAATAACAACACACAAATTGTTCCTTATTTCTCAGGTTATTTTTAAGAAAACAAGAGAAGAGTTGTGATATTTCAGCAAAACATAAATTCCCTGTCGCCGAAATGTTTTCATATGGAACTTACTTCCATAGCATGGGGGAGCATATATTAAGCTAATATAATGGTGGAAGATATAGAAGAACAAAAAACGCTAATTCGAAAGTCTCACGATTGGAAAAGAACATTTGCAATGGAAAAAGTAACCTTGTGTGTACTTAAGTGTAATGTTGAATGTTTCATAGGTTGATGGAACTGAATACTGATAAGTGTGAGATAGACTGTGTACTAAGCAGTGGACCAGTAGTTGTGGTCTGCTTAACCAGAGATAAAGATATTTAGCTGAATATAATTATTCTGATCTTTCGTGGTATTGTCGTATAGCTGAAAACCAACATTACATTGTCCCTTCTGGTTCATAAAACTATATATATATGCTTGCGAGAGAGTTCTAAATTGTCGTATAGAATCCTCTCCAAAAGTTCTAAAACTAGAACTTTTTAGAACTTTTGGAGAGGGTTCTACACTATTTGGTAGACCCTACAATTACATACATATATATAATATATATATACATATATATATAGTTTTAGAATTTCAATGGGATAGAACCCCCATTGGAGATGGTCTAATCACAAGTTTGGTTATTTGTAAAAAAAAAAAAATCACACGTTTGGTTATGAGGGTTTATTTGCACCATTTCAATACATTATGCTTTATTTATAGCTCATTTTTGATGACATTTTCCTAGTTTCCAATTTACAAATGTATCAGTTTGGACCCTTGTTCATCTAAATTCTGATATTATCATCATATTCTATTATTTGTTTTCCTATTTACCATGTTTTTTCTTCAAAGAGTGATTTACATCCTAGGTCACTTTCTGAGTTTTTATCACACTAAAAGACACTTATTGCTACTGAGGTAATTTCTTTTAACCAAATCAAAACTATAAACATCTTGTTTGGTTTCTTTTTCTTTTAGTCAGCAATTTATTTTTAATTAAAAAAATTAGAATAGATCTCTTCTTTCTTCTTTTTCGGTGGAGATCTTTTTTTTTTTTTTTTCAATTGCAAATCGTTTCGTAACTTGTGTTCACTAAGTTAGTATACTTCCTATGTCACAACATCTTTTGTTCTTCTCCACCACTGCACACAACTCTGTCACATATTTTTTTTTTGGATTCAGATCAACAGTAAAACTCGATCCATGTGTGTATTATCCTCCATGAAGCTTTTTCCTTGACACAAATCCACCGTGGCGACCATCAAGAATCATCGCTCTTCAGTCTTCACATGGTAGAAGAAGCTCGAGCAACAATGATGAATTGTCATGGTTTTGCACATTTAATCCTCTAATTTTTAGATGTTCTCAGTTTGACCCCAAACTCTCAAAATGTATATATAAATCCTTATGAATTAATCCAAATTTTTAAATGTGCATTCCAGCTATTTCTTATAATTGCACAAATGGTCCATCATATTTAATTATTATCTCTATTTGGATTTAAACTCACAGAATTATGGATATATCTTCATTATTGACCTCTAAACTTTTAAATGTGCATTTTAATTCATGTTATATGGAAATGAACACACAAATATAATATACACACCTAAATACAATCAAAAGTGCATACAATAAAGTAAAATAAGATTATAAAATACAACAAAATCATGAGATATTAGGATTTACTATTGGTTATACATATGAATGTGTACATTATCAACAAAATCACATGGTGTATAAGTTTATGTATGTACAAAGATTATGTGTGTACACATGTACATCTAATTGTAATAATTAACGTGTACACATAATTTTGTACACGTGTACATTGTCATGAATTTCTCTTTTTTATTGAAACATGTTCATATCAATGCAATCTTTTTGACCGTGGTTGTGGCCGTCATTGAAATGAGTAACGTGTACAATCTCATAACTTTTTTATAATTGCACTTACAAATATCGTCATGGTGTACATATATAATTCATGTACAATTATTTTACAAAACTTCATCAGTAAAATATAGATAAAATTGTAATTAAGATTTTTGATTGATAATGCATGTATGTGTATGTGTACATGTGTACAATGAGCACATGTGAACATAGATTAAGTGTACATGTGTACATATTCAGATGTGTACATCATATGTTAAGTGATTTACAATATACCAAGAAAAATGAGTAACATAAATATGGTTTTATAGAAGGTATGTGGATTCGCATAAGCATGAGTCAGTTTACGTGCACGTTGTTGTAAATATATCTATATATAGTCATATGTACATAATATGGTGTACATACAATTACATTATCCATATGTACAATGATTCATATTTATACTATTTTTGGTAAATAAAATTCTGAAAAAACCAAATTTTACCATTTGAATTAGAAATATATAAATAAATTCATCAATAAAAATATAGATAGAAATTTTAATTAAGATTTATGATTGATAATTCATGTATGTATATGTGTACATGTGTACAATGAGCACATGTGAACATAGATTAAGTGTACATGTGTACAATGAGCACATGTGAACATAGAATAAATGTACTTGTGAACATATTCACATGTGTACATCATATATTAAGTGTTTTACAATATACCATGAAAAATAAGTAACATAAATATGGTTTTATAGAAGGTATGTGGACTCTCATAAGGTATGCGTCAGTTTACGTGTACGTTGTTGTAAAGATATCTATATATAGTCATATGTACATGATATGGTGTACATATAATTACACTATCCATATGTACAACGATTCACATGTACACAATTTTTTGATACACAATATATAGTGTACATATACATATGTGTTACCTTTGTTTTTATGGTTAAAAATCGTTGAACACAAATACATAATAAACTATTTATGTGTACAAAAATATTAGATATTAAAATATTCACATGTACATCGGTGTGTACATACAAAAATTACTCAAGTATACAAAAGAATCAAAATGAAAAGAATCAAAAGCTGATGAACCATTTGTGAAAATATATGAAAAGGTCAGATTGCAACATTAAAAAAAATTGGGGGAAATTTGTGAAACAATTTGATCAGATTTAAAATTAGAGGAATATTATGAAAGAAGCATAAAACTAGAGGACCAAAAGTGCAAAAAGGTGATACTCCTCCATTGATGTTGCAGATCGCATTTCTCGGCGGATCTCGTCGACGACAATGACAATTCGGCTATGATAGAGCAAAGACACGACGGCGAAGGCTGAGAACACGATTTAGAGATGGAGAGGTCGTGAACCTGAGATGTGAAGAAGCTGATGTTGACACGACGTGAGCGATGACCACCGGTGCTAGACGTCACAACGACGGTATCTCAGTTATGGCCGCACACGGCACCGTTTTATCCACCGTCTCCTGTAACTCTCCCGTCATTACCACGAAACCCTAAACGACCAACAAAAGCTTAGAGTGGTCGAAAAAACAGAGGAAAAAAATGTTAATTCTTTAGAGACACATTGACTCAGATTCCATAAACTTGAAGTCACCAGAGAAGAACAATCTCTCCTAAGCTTTAAGTGAAACTTTGGAGCTCGTGAAGAAAAAAGAAGAATCTCTTTATAAAGGAAGAGAAGATGATAGCAATAACGATAGCTTAATTTACGAGAATAGGAAAAGAAAAGACATAGATGGAAATCAGCAAAACGACAGTTGTACAGTGGAAGAAGAAAGAAAGAAAGAAAGACACTGTGATTTTTATTACAAGAAGAAAGTGAGGTTTAAAGAAGGAGATAAAAAGTGTTTTGTCAAAAAATTGGACTCAACGGGTAATATTCACAGTTTGTGTGTTAAAAAAAAAGTGAAAGGAGACAAAAGCAAAGTGACGAAGTGACTGAAAGAGAGATGATGAGAGATTAATAAAAAAGTTAATTTATTAGTTACAGTTTTGGTTTTGTTTGAACTAGAAAAAGAGAGTAAGTTGAAAAAAAGTGTCTGAGGAGAACAAAGTGTCTTATAGTGTTATTAAAACTTGAAAAGTGACCCTGGATGTAATATTTTCTTCTTCAAACATATGATGTCACACAATCTACGTTGTGCCGAGAAATGCGTAAGCCACAATAAAAGAAAAAGAATGGAAACAAATCACCAAAATCTGACTAAACGAGAAATTGCATATGAACCTCGTTGCGCCACGTGGTCCCTCCACTGCCGTTACATTCCGGTGAAGTAACAAACTCGCCACTGCTTCTTCATCACCAACACCACAATCAAAGCTCAGATCTCAAACCTCTCTTTCCATGGAAGCAGCAGCACCACCAAGGCTCGTCTACCGTGGACCTAAACCAATTCAATCCTCCCGCCGTTCCTCCGTCTCCACGATCCCTCACCGTAACCGCTCTCGGCGGATCCTAGCCGTCGCTACTGATCCCAAACCTACACAAACCAACGGATCTTCTTCATCGTCAAAAGGAGTCAACAACAACGTCTCCACGGTTTAAGATTCTTCTTCTTCTTCTCCTCGTCCCAATTTTTATGCTAATCAATTCTCTAACATTCCAAAAATCGTTAAACAGAGAGTCAACGATGTATCGAAAGAGATTAAGAGAGTGAGAGCTCAAATGGAAGAAGACGAACAGTTGTCTGCGTTGATGAGAGGCCTTCGTGGCCAGAACTTGAATGATTCCGTTTTCGCCGATGATAATATTCAGCTTAGGCTTGTAGAGGTGAGAATGTTAGCTAATTTTTATTAGTGATTGACTTAGCAGCATTGTGTAGAATGTTTCATTTCTTGATTGTTTTGGCTTAGACTGGTGAAAGCAGTGAGTTCTTGCCTTTGGTATATGATCCGGATACCATCTCTGCTTACTGGGGGAAACGGCCTCGTGCTGTTGCTAGTCGAGTTGTTCAGTTGCTCTCTGTCGCTGGCGGGTTTCTCTCTCGTCTTGCTGTTGATATAGTCAACAAGAAAGTCAAAGAGGTCATGAGTCTAGCTTTTTAGATTTTTGTTGTAAAAGTTTAAATTGCAGTGGATGTTGTATGTAGTGATTTGAGTCTCATTTGTGGTTTGTCATCATTTTTCAGAATGAGGTTTCTAGGGCGATTGAATTGAGGGAAATTGTTACTTCACTGGGTCCAGCTTACATTAAGCTTGGACAAGCTTTGAGTATTCGACCTGATATCTTGTCTCCTGCTGCAATGACTGAACTACAGAAGCTTTGTGACAAGGTATAATGCTGCAATTTTTTTCCTGTTTCGTTTCATTCGTTGTTATATGATCTGAATGGCTAAAGATTTGTTTGTTTGAAGGTCCCTTCATTTCCTGATGATGTAGCAATGGCTCTTATTGAGGAGGAGCTTGGCAAGCCGTGGCAAGAAATTTACTCAGAGCTCTCTCCTTCCCCAATCGCTGCTGGTATATTTGAACATGTTATTCTTGTGTCCAATTTATCATTTCAATAGACTTAGTTCCAGATGATTTATTGTTGTTTTGTTTTTCTTTAGCGTCTCTGGGGCAAGTGTACAAGGGAAGATTAAAGGAAAACGGGGATCTAGTGGCAGTGAAAGTACAGAGGCCTTCTGTTCTTGAGACTGTGACTGTTGACTTGTTTGTGATACGGAATTTGGGTCTATTTCTGAGGAAGTTCCCTCAGGCAAGGTTTCGTCTGAAGGCTCAGCTTATGCACTTATTGTTCTCTTTCACCGTTCATCTTCATGACTTTCCTTCTTTTTTGGCATTTTCGTGCAGGTTTCAGTAGATGTTGTTGGACTGGTTGATGAATGGGCTGCTCGCTTTTTTGAGGAGCTTGATTATGTTAACGAAGGAGAAAACGGTACATATTTTGCAGAAATGATGAAGAAAGATCTCCCACAAGTACGCTACCTAACTTTTCTAATAAGCATTTCAGTTTGTTAGTTGTCTACATATGAAGCGACTCATCATGTGGGTTATATTTTTGCAATGGTTTCTAATCTTGCAATTATTGATGATGGGTTCAGGTTGTTGTACCAAAAACCTACCAGAATTATACGTCAAGGAAGGTTCTTACAACACAATGGATTGATGGCGAAAAACTGTCACAAAGTATGGAGAATGACGTTGGAGAGCTTGTGAATGTTGGTGTTATTTGTTACCTAAAGCAGGTAACACTTTTTGCATACTTGTTGCAGAGCAGAACTTGAGCTTAGCTTCTATTTTTCTCAGATTTTTCTGCAATCATGCTAAGTTGTATAGGGAGCATATGCGTTCTCTGGTTTCTATCCGGTTTAGCATCGCTGGTCAAGTTCTTAGCCATAGGTTCCAGTAAAGTCTTCTAGTATGTATAAAAGCAGGGACTTGTAGGACCATTGTGTACATTAGGTTTACTCACTGCCTTGATAGATCTATTGTCAGATAAGCAAAACTTTTGGCCACCAAAATACTTCATCGTGTCATTTTCTTTTGACTTTGTCTGTGCTGGTGTGTAGTCATTCTACATTGTGGAATCTACAACACTTTTCATGTTTTAAGAAGTGAAAATGTTGTATATTTGAATTCTTCTTGTTAACGATGGTACTGTTTTTGTGCTACAGTTGCTTGATACTGGCTTTTTCCATGCTGACCCTCATCCTGGAAATATGATCCGTACCCCAGACGGAAAGCTTGCCATCCTTGATTTTGGTAATGATTCTAGGTCTAGGGTCACATTCAGTTGTGTATGAGAAAAGCGTTTTGTTGACATTTTGTTTATCTATTCATTAAAGGTCTTGTTACGAAATTGACTGATGATCAGAAGTATGGAATGATTGAAGCCATTGCACACTTAATTCACAGGGATTATGATGCCATAGTAAAAGATTTTGTCAAACTTGGTTTCATCCCTGATGGAGTCAATTTGGCTCCTATATTACCTGTCCTGGCCAAGGTTTTTGACCAGGCACTCGAAGGTGGCGGAGCTAAAAACATCAACTTTCAGGAGCTGGCTGCAGATTTGGCGCAGATAACTTTTGATTATCCTTTCAGAATTCCCCCTTATTTCGCCCTTATAATTAGAGCAATTGGTGTACTCGAAGGGATAGCTCTAGTGGGGAATCCTGAATTTGCTATTGTGGACGAGGCTTATCCGTATATAGCTCAGGTATTCTTGAAATTATAGCACACCATCTTTCATTGGACCTTACAAAGTACTGATGGTTATTGTCTTCATGTGATTACCTTAATTATTAGAGGCTATTGACCGATGAATCTCCTCGCCTAAGGGAGGCTTTACGGTACACAATATATGGGAAGACTGGCGTTTTTGATGCTGAGAAATTCATCGATGTGATGCAAGCCTTTGAAACTTTCATTACAGCAGCCAAAAGTGGAGGAGGAGAAGATATGAACGGAGGCATGGCTGAGCTGGCTCTTCTGCAAAACCAAACAAGCAGTCTGGCTCCTATGTTTCCAGCCAGTGCATCCCAACTGAGTCAGCCAGCTCAAACGAGAGTCGCTTTGTCTTTTCTGCTTTCCGAGAAAGGAAACTTCTTCCGGGAGTTTCTATTGGATGAGGTACGTACTAACAAAATCTAACGACCTTCTAAACTAATGAAAAATGAATGAAAATCTGGAAAAGTAATTTGTAGACAAGCTCAGAGATACCTGTCCATAAATGTCCTGAGTTCTGACAGTTGTTGTGATTACTCAAAACAGATAGTGAAAGGCATCGATGCAATCACAAGAGAACAGCTGGTGCAAGCAATGGCAATCTTTGGATTCAGAAACGCAACACCAATCTTCGGTATGGTACCACCAACACTAGGACCTTTCAGGCCTGCAGGACTTCTCCCATCTGTAACAGAAGAAGACAAAGTCATCTTGAACAATGTTCAGAAAGTAATCGAGTTCCTTACTGGAAGAAGCTCCATGTCGAATAACCCTGATCAGGTTAATTTTCATAAATCTCGCGTGGACCTTGTCATATAATTGAGAACTAATATCTGTATTACCAGAATTATGAACTTGTGTGTGTTCATTATCGTATAACAGGTAGTAGATTTATCTCAAGTGGTTCGGGAACTGCTTCCTGTTTTGCCTGGAATCTCTGTGACAATATTGCCGGATATTATGAGTCGGCTTGGGTCAAGAGTAATGGCTAGAATAGTTCGAGATACCTTTTTGTAAATACTGTGTTGAGCTTTTTATAGCTGTGCATATAAATTGCATTTTCAAAGTACCTATATGCAGCTGACCAAGACCGTTTGTCGCCACTAAAATCCAATGTTACATTACATAACAGGCTTATTGAAACGTAGGTTCTGAAAACTGCTTTCAGTCACTAAAGCAAAAGAAAATCCAGAGTATTTGATAACCTGACGATCAATATCTCTAATCAGAAACTGGTGTTGTCAAGGAAAGAGTGGCAAGGATTGATCTCCTGAAGCATATCATATGATACGCTTCTTAAGAGGCGAAATGTAGTGAGCTCCATGAAATGCAGCCGCTGTGAGTGCATTCAGCGGTCCAAATTTCACCGCATACATCTTCTGGATTCCATCTAAAACCGCCATCATTGCTATATTTGCAGGTTTTCTCTCAGCTTCATACCGTTTGAGCAGATTCGCCTGCAAGACAAAGGTCCAAGCAATCAACAAATGAGGAAAGGTTCAGGACTTAGAAACTGAGCATATACCTCGTCTATGTCGGTACCAAGAGCAATGCCTTCTGCTATAGCTCTGGAGAGAGCACACGCATCTGCAAATCCTAGATTAACTCCTTGACCAGCCAACGGGTGAACCGTATGAGCTGAGTCACCGACAAGAGCCACACGATTTACCACATAGTCTTTTGCATGCCTTAAAGATAAAGGAAACATCATTCGTTCTGAAGAAAGCTTCACAACTTTTGGTGGAGTTTCAAACCTCTCCTTGGCAGATATGTTCACATCTCCTGTAAGCCAAAGAGAGACTCCCTCGTGAACTCGTTATCTCCGGATGTGGACCGTATCCATAATCCAGACCGTCGTTTACAGCTTTGATGAAGTCATCCTCGCTCATAAATTTTCGATCTGAGGCCTCGGTTGGATCCATAGTCCATACTATGTTGCTAAACTTGTCACCAATGGGAAGAAGCGGGATGGGGCCATTTGGTAAAAACCTTTGCCACGCTGTGAAGTTTTCGAAAGTGTGCTCAACTGTACAAATAATAGCGTTCTGTGAGTAGTTCCATCCAGTTGTTTTAATCCCTGACAACTCCCTCACCCGTGACTTAGATCCATCCGCGCCTACCTGAACAAAAAATTGTTAAGCCAATCTCAAAAGTGATGAGACTCACTCAACTCTAGCAAAACTAGAAACAAGTACCACCAGTTTTGCGTACATGTTATTTCCATCGCTTAGCTCCAGCTTAGCAAGGCGTCCTCGCATAAACAAATCTGTTGTGGATGGTGACCGGTCAGCGAAGAACTAGGTAGCATATCCATTGAGCTTAACCTTGCTGGATTAACAGTCTTCTGGAGATCTGATTCCTCCAAATATCAAGCTCTCTCTTGTAAGAATAACAGAAACATGACTTATAAAACTCTACTAGAATCGTGCGGGTATTAGTTTTTAGTTTTTTTTTTTTTATAAATTGTCCAGTGACATTTTAAAATTATAGATTATGTAGAAACATATGCAAACGAAGCAGTGAATGCTTTTTACATCACACTTGAACAATTAAAAAAAAAAAAGGAATAAACCAGAACCATCCCAAACTTATGAACTATGTTACAGACGAATGATGAAACAAATCTAATCCCCATGATCAGAATGCGAACTTTTCCTCTTTGCAAATTGCAAGTGAGTTCTTCAATCCAAATAGCATAACCCTTTATGTTCATTGTCACAATCTGTGTAGGTTAGTAGTGTTTCAGGACTTGGGAGTGGCTTTTAGCTAACTTGCTCTGCCTTTTTACCACCCTTTTTCTGTTTCTGCTTCTCTGCTTTCTTTCTCTTTGATCCACCACTCACCCAAGTATATCCTGCCGGGATAGCAAACGGGTCTTGTAGAGTTTGGGACTTACTGTCTTTATTTGATCTGGCTCGACGAAACCACGAGGATGACGATGAGTTGGTTGAACCAGTCGGGCTCGAAGGAGGCGTCTTAAATTCATCTGCAGAGTAAATCTCTTCAAACTTTGTGAATGTAACAAGCACTTTTATCGTAGGTACCACTGGAATAGCAACCTACAATATTTAACAAAACAATTTCAATAAAACTCATTACTGACAAACATCATCAGATCATTAAAACAACCAACATACCTTGACTGGAAATGTTCCTGTGGGAAGCTTTGTAGTAAGAAGCTCTCTAAGCCGACGAATTGCCTTGACTTTGTTCGCAAGTATGTCAAGCAAAGGAAGCAGCTCCTCTGTTTGTAATGGGAAGTCTGGAGATAGCCAGAGAACTGGACGTAACCCTTTCTTATATTCACTCTCTTGTTGACTCTTACTCAAGACTGATAACACTCTTGGCTTCCTAGTACTCTCACTATCTACCGAGTGTCTTCCTGGTTTTATTATCTCATTAGAGTCTCCTAGAAGATTACTTACTTTCTCATTCACACAAAATGAGCTTCTCGGTGGCGCATACTCCTGTTTACTCGTCTCTTTTCTTCTCCAACCTCCTAACCATACTTTCTTCTCCTGATTCTTGTGAGATGGACTAAAATCCAGCTTAAGAGCAGCTTCTAGTTGCTTCTTCTCTTCATCAGTTAACACATCACATAGATCATCATTATCTACACAACCATTCACTTTATCACCCAATGAACCAGGAACCTTTCTAGACTTAATACTAACAACCACATTGTTCATCTCATAAACCTTAGCTTTCCAAGGACCAACCATCTCACTCTTCTCCTGCCTCCTCCAATTCATCTGCGGGTTTAAAACCGCTCCCGTCACATCGATCCCGGGTCTAAAAACACTGCTCTTAAACATCGAAGCCACTTCTTTCCTAACATCTTCATCCGAAGGAAACCCACATGCACCGTCCAACGTATCCATCACTTCTTTATCCTTATGATTCACCATGTAAACCGACCTACCATCTCCAGACCCGTCGCCAAGAAACAGTATGCTCTGATCAGTCCTCTGAATCTTGAAACCATCAAAACCAGACATAGTCATATCCGCTCTGAGATTCGAACCCACTTTCCACACCTTGTAAGTATCAGAAGGAGCAACTTTTGATACAAAGGGTAAAACAGAGCTCTCAAAGTGGAAACTCATCTCTAAGTAGAAATCTTTCATCCCCCTCATCGTTGCTATCAGACGAGGCAGCCTTCTACACCACTTAGCCCAAGCTAGTGGCTGATAATGCCTAACTATGATCATGGCGATGGACTCTTGTCTGCTGCAGACAGCTTCTTGCAACGCGTTCCAGCCATCTTTGTTTTGTAGGGTCCAGTCAGCTCCGGCCAGCATCAGCATCTCAGCTGATGTTGTGTCACGGAGCTTTACAGCTAAGTGGAGAGGCGTGTCGCGGTTTGGCACGTCTCTTCTGTTGATGACGGCTGAAACGGCGTCGGATTTGGCTTCCTCTGCTAAGGAAGCTGCTTCTGAGAGAATCTTGGAGGGGTCTTGTGGGGTTGGGAGAGAAGAGAGTATTGATGTGAGAGTGGCGTAGTCTCTTGAAGCAACTGCTCTGTGCACAGAGCTGTGTGTGTACTTTGAAACATCAAGGTTCTCCATTTTTTGATCCAAGATCGGGATTCTTGAAAGTTTGTCACTTTTTTTTTTTTTTGTGGTTGTTGCTTGTAACTTGCTTCGCAAGAAAGAGAATGAATGTCTTACTCCAACATGAAAAGGTTGTAGGTTACCTTTGTTTCTGTATTATCGTAATCGTATTGTCAACTACTCTAAGCTTTTGTATTAATACTTTATAGGAGAGAAGAGAAAGGGAATCTGTAAATCCAGACCAGACACGAGAATTACGCATGTGGGGGCTCGTGAAACAAAAAACACGGAGAGGAATTCAAGTGTAGAATAAGGAAACAAATAAATATCCAGAGATTATGTTTTCTGAGAAAATTAATAAAAAAATACGAATAGGGAGAGAGATTAAAGAATGGAGGTTGAGAGAATGAGGATGAATCAGTCCCGAAGAAGATGAAATATTTGATTAGTGGTGAAAGGCAGCATTCTAAAAATCGGTATAAACTGCACGTAGGTATTAAGCATAGATGGTAAATCAAATTTAAACGAAACAACTTTTTTGAATGATTTCTTTTTAAAAATCTTGTCTTTTTTTTTTAACCAAACTTGCATTAACTTAAATATTTAAAAGTCTGTCGAATTGATAACCAGGTTATCTAATTGCCGATTTTTTAAAATATTACAATTATAGAAAGCCAATTTTTTGCTGTTGAATTGAATTGATTACATAGAGATTACAAACCAACAATTATACATGATTTATCTGGATTAATGCATGATTACATTATTTCGAAGGACGTAGATCCACTTTTTTCTGTGAGACTCAAAACTTGGACCTTCTGGTGTGAAGTATTAATGAACATTCAATATATGAATAAAATACCAAATAGAATAAATAAAATATACAGTAAGTTAAGATAAACCTCCCGGTCGCATAGGTCTTTGGACATGCATGTTCATATAACTAGTAGAACACCATTGGTAGGGTAAAGAAGCCTCACAATATTGTTGATATCTGCAGAATGAGCGCTAGGATCTTTCTTCATTCATTGCACATCTGCCTATGTACAAAAATGTTTGTATTTCAATATAGTTCAACATTAAAAATTACATTAGATAAATAAGGTGATAATGATGTGGATGATGGTTCGTTTGACATCGCACTAAATGGATTACAATAACCCTGGACAATCTTGTGCAAGTTTGTGTAAATCTTATATATTAGCTTGTTTTCAGTTATCTAAATAACTCTAATCATGACATGATTGATTTATTTTCTTGTTCTAAAAGGAAAATGGTGTTGGTGACAACTTCCAGTTCAATAGATGGATGGTCGTCTTCTTCAAGCAAGAGATATACACAAGAAAAGAAAAGAAAAGAGTGTAGACAAATATTGCTTCTAAGACTGTCTTATAAGGTTCTGTGAAGCTACATATTGATACGATTCTCTTTAGAAAGAGGTTGTTGTCCAGGAAATGACTTACTTTTTATACCTTACATCATGTACATGTATTTTCAAATTTTTAAAAATGCTATCGTATAGTCTTTGCTTGAAGATATCTACCGACATGTTACTAACTGCTTCTTAAACAATATATACATACCCATGCAAAATGCAACACACCATTTGATCGTCTGCACAAAATCTAACAATGATATTTACTGCCTAACTGTATTTGTCAGCCTTTGGTTGTATAGTATAGCCCTTAGTCTACGTAGAATTTTGCTTCGTTAAAATTAACTCTCGTCTTTTATCATCTGGCTTACATGTGCTTCGACGACATAAATAAACCATTGAAATGTCCATCTCATTAATGGCAATAAAACTTCTATTTTAGTTAATCTGTATGTCGATGTGAACAAGATCACCCACACTTGTGAACTTTTGGTTGAAAATTCTCCAATAAAACTAGTGTGAAATTTCATAAAATTTTGATATAATTTCATAAATATATATATATGTATATATATTTTTCGAAATGTTAAATTTGTACTCTAGAATTTATATATTGTCAACGGATCATTTTATTTACAAAATCAATCAACTTTTATTTTTGTTAAAAGTAAACGTAACTCAATCAGTATTTATGTTAATTTTCTTATCAAGAAAGGTTTTTTGGAAGCTTATATCAATGTGTTCAATTTCAGATATATAACAAGTATTATGAAAATATTTGAAAATACAGTTTTTTTTTGGTCAAATACACTTAATGATTACAAAAAAGAATAATACTAATTTTTTGAGATTTATTGTTATTTTCGAAAACGTAGCTTTTTCAAAAAAAAAAAAAAAAACAATTCATGAACAACCCAAGAGTATTGAATGGTGGGTTTTTTTCCTGTGTGGTTGGGGTCTATTGGCATTGACAATGATATTCGTTAGCCACATTATGTTTCTGGAACAAGTTCAAAAGTGTAGGGGTTATACAATATTTGAGATAGTTCTTTGTTAATTAGTAATTGATCATACGTAACATAGTTTATATTTTATTTAATTCTCATGTTTTTTTTTTTGAAAAAAATGTGGTTTCACCTCTTTGCGAGGAATCAAATCAATATAATTAAATAGTTCATTCCATCGCAAATTGAAACTAGATGGTGGTAGTTACAGCCACACTCCCTTTACTGTATCAGTTCGATGTTGGTTTAATTCTCATGTTATTTGTTTTGTTTTACTGAGATTTAGTAGATTTCAAAAAAAAGCAAACATATGAAATAACATTGATTGCTTAGTTTCTTGAATATAAACTTGTCTTTTTTTTTTTTTGAACAAAGAATATAAACTTGTCTGAAATCGAGAAGTTGAAAGAAAGAGTGGTGGTGTGAAAGTTAAAAATTAGGAGAGTCCTTTTGGGGAAAAAAATTAAATGCGCTTGATTGAAAACGATAGTTGCTATAGTACTAAGTAGTTAGTAGGAGGAAGCAATCAAGCATGGGTTCCATTTTCACTTCTTCACTTACTTTAAAATTTGCACTGCCAAACTCATTACACTTTCCATGTTCTTTGTTTCAAAGGCCTCTACGATACTCTCTTCTTCACATAATAAATACGAAAGCTCTTTAAGTGATTAAAATTGTTTGGGTCATGACCATATTCATTAGTAATTAAGTTTGTCGTACGTGTCATGCCTGCCGACTCTGTCCAAAAAACTTGAGAGATTCTAACATCAACTGATGAGATCAAGTAAAATGTACTAATTAAGCTTGAAATTTACCTCTCGAGACTACATTTATGAATCTAAAGCCACTTGTAAGGGTGAAAACATACATAAAAATGCAAGTAAGAGTATCATCGGGTCAGGCAGTCTGGAACACTTTTGGGTTAATCTGCTGTGTAGCATTAAGTATGATCTTCCTGGGACCGATCGGATTAGCCGATAGAGTTTATAAAAAAAAAGGATAAGAGTATCATGTATTTTTTCTAGTGACTCGTAGCAGAATGTTTGGGTTTTATTCATAAAGAAAAACTATTTACTCCTATTGTTATTTAAAGTACAACTGGTCAGCTTTACTGTTACCATAAATGAGTCCACAGGATCACTTAATGAGGCTGAGGCTTATGAATCTTCAAATCAGAGATATAATGAAGAACCTTTTTTATCGTAGCGAGAACGAGATAAAGAGGAACATGCATGATTTCCACATAATTACCTAATTATTTCTAAACTAAATTATTATTTTAATGACATGCTTCCATTTTTTGTTCTTTTATGCATTATAGTTTGTATATAAAGTTTATCCAGACTAATTCTTTTTGCTCCTTTTATCAAACGTCGCTATTTATATCAGTCGACCTATTTGCTTTCCTTCATATTCTATATCCTCATCAAACAAACAAAAACAGATATTGACCAAAATCCAAAATAGAAAATGAAGATCAAGGGTTTACTATTGGCTTTTTCTCTCCTGGTTTTTGCATTCATTGATCATTCGGAATCAGCTTCAGTGCGGAGTTTGCTTCTGAAGAATGGAATGTACGAAGAAGAAGCACAAATTTTAAAGGACGACTCCACGGAGACGATCACTAACTCTACAGCTTTGGACTCAAAACGGATAATTCCCACGGGTCCAAATCCACTACACAACAAGTAGCTTTGATAATTCAAGAACAAGATATGTTATGTGTATGTATCCTCTTCTTCTTCTTTTTTCTTTTCTTTGTTTGAAGGATTTCTGATCTTATTGTCTAGCTAGTGTAATGATAAATGTATGTGACATTTTATAATTAAGTTAATTACTCGATATCTTTGCCTTTTCACACATATGGTTTCAAACTTGTTTCAAAGTGATTTAGGGAAATCACATGATACCTTACCGCAACCAAATATACTCCATGGTTAGCAAAGCAAACGATAATCTAGCTATGGAGGCGAAGAAGTGGAAACTGATTCTCTTACTTGTTCTTTTTTTTGTTCAAGCTTTAAACGAGACCAATCCTTATATACTCCACATGATCCATATATCCGTCTTTTTTTACGAAATGTTTTAGTGAATTTCCTCTTCATAATTTTTGATGTGTTAGATTTTTAATGTAAATTTTTTTTTTGGGTCAAACTTTTCAATGTAAATTTCTAACTCACCTTTTCAATGTTAACTTTTAGTTCCAAATTTATCTTCACAATATCCTGTTATCATTTTCTACCTAAACTATAAAGTAAAGATAGTTCAACTATTTTATATAAAAAATTACATATGCGTATTAATTCAACAAAAGAACATCATAAAAAGTATGGCGGAGAAAATGTATCGCATGCTGGTGGTCTTTGGATCATAGTATGAGATCACGTTGAGCCATATATATTAACAAGTATTTTAAATGTATATTATTATATTCATACATGATTGTAAAGTCAAATAAGATAATATAGTAACTAACCGGTAGCGGTCCTGACTTGCAAATGACCAGAAGTTTTTTTAGAAAAAAAGTAGATAATGTCCCAACCTTAGTTCGAATTGGGGTTGTTAGAGCATGTGTATTGCTGGGACAAATAAAATGTCCTTAGAATTTTTTTATATTATTTTTATGTTTAGGACATTATTATGGGACTTTGTTAAATGTAGTAATTATTGGTGGGACTTTAATTTGTCCTTAGCAACATAAATTATTATTTTGATACACTTCAAAATAAGTTTCATATGGACAAAGAGATATGACAAAGAGAGATGACAAAATAAGTTTCATTTTCATGAAATAACATAATGAAAATGTTCATTACCATACAAGCTAAGTCATTACAAGTCATTACAATAGAAAAAGAAATAACATAGCATTAGAAGAAGAGTAAAGGGACAACAAACAACCACCAAACTATCCACTCTTTCTGCTCAACCAGTTCTTCAGTAATTGGCGGATCTCTTCGCTTTCAGGACATACACACAACAGTGGAGCTGTTTTTCCATCACCAACGACATTGAAGACTAATAAGGAAGCTATGTCGTATTTGTTATCACAACAGAATTTCGTCCACCCTCCTCTGATGTAATACATGCTCTTTGATTCGCAAAAGAGCAAATTCGCAATCCATGAGTTTCCCTCCTTGTTCACTAGTATCACCTCCTGGCATTGTTTGTTCAACACACTACATTGATGCGTAGCTGCCGCAGGAAACAGCTGCAAACACATAACAAATGAAAATTAGTCTTCGTTAAGTTTTGAAATAAACACACAAAACGACTAAGTACTTACAAGTATGTCTTCTGCTAGGCTCTTATCCGTGACCTCAACTAAGAAACAATACTCAAATGAGATAAAATCAGCCCTTGCTCCTGATCCTCCTGATCCATAAGACAATAATTTAGGAATCAAAAGAGGACAGTGAGTTTTAATTAGACTTAATAATCTCACCTGCAGCATCATGTGAGGAGGCTTCTTCCTCGGTCACGTGGGGAGGTGTATACCTAATCTCACAGCAGCTAGGACCAATAGGAGTTACATGAAACACCATGTGTGCTTCCTTCTTGAAGATGACGATGTCACCGACGCGGAGGTCATGTGCTCTGGCGAATGTTTCCCAACCTCTAGTGAGTCTTGTCCCTTCTTGTATCACCTCCCAAGTCTTATCGGAAGCGTCCGATCTTAATTTCCATGATGTCTTGTTCGTCTTCCCTTCTATGTGATTTGCGAAGAAGGTAAGTGGTATGTCCTGAAATTCAGAGAAGGGAAACTTAAGCACAACTAAACATTATAAGACACATATACATCAGAAATAGGGAGAGTGTGTCTATACCAAGCCAGTGTGGAAACCCGGGAGCATGGGCTTTACAAAATGAGGTTCATGCGGAGCTAACCGAAGAGACATCTACAACAACAAAGCTTTCACAACTTTTCAAAAATTATTTTAATAGTTCGAAAGTAACTAGAACAACAGACAACATAACTTATTTTAATAACTTGTATTCAAACAACTTCCCATTTACACATCAAACAACAACAAAGCTTTTATATGACAACCAAAAAAAACAAACATATCTCCACGAAGACAGAAGTAATCAAGTCGATTTAAACTTCTACTCTATCAATTTCAATTAAGTGTAAGTGAGTTACCTTTCTTTCGGCGGTAATGTGTGTTCTTCTTACAGTCCATCAATCCAAAAATTTCATTTTTCAGTTACTCAGTTAACATAATAGAAAGAATATACGACCAAATACTTAACAAATCTACGACAAATAATGTCAAAGAACAATCAACGAAACAGTGTGAGAATCAAAGAAGAGACACAATTTGTGTTTCATCAAATCAATGGTCGAATATCGAACATGAATTCAGTTTTATATACAACAAAACACTCACAAGAACAGGGTTGGCCTTAATCAAGAAGTCGAAATTAAAGACAAATCAAAGAAGAGATCAAAGACGAAATCAACCACGAAATCAAGACAAAATCAATGAAAGACGAGATCAATGAGCGATGACATCAAAGACGGAATAAAATTTTGAAAACCCCAAATCTAATCGAAATCTAGGGTTCCGATGACGAGAACGACAACAACTGCATCATGATCGGGTAAAGGTAAAGCGAAAACAATAACATGCAACCAATTATACCTTCGAATCGACAGTGGAAGGAAGACGAATGGCCGACGAAGGGAAGAGACACCACCACCGAACGGAGATAGAAGGGAAGAGATGCCGGAGATGTATCGCCGAGCTAGTTGAATCGAGAATCGCCGACGAAGATGGTTCGAGAATCGACTACTATGGTCTCCGATAAATCGCCTTTGCCACAAACGCTCTCGGACTCTCCCACGTGAAATGAAAGAAGAAGAAGGGTTTACCCTATCGTTTTCATTCAGCCACTAGCAACACTCCACGTGGCCATTAAGGACGCCCACGAAAGTTTATAATTTTAACAACGTCCTGAGTAATTATATTCATTTTGATTTATTTTTGCCAATTAATTACCTTTAGGACTGTCTTAAGGACAGCGATACACATGCTCTTAGGCTCAGATTACTTAATAGAAACCACTAGACTAAAGAAATATTTTGTCAAAAATTGACCAAAACTTATATATATCTTTGGAGGCTAGAAACCCATATTTCTAATGCTTCTTATCAGGACCGGGGCATGAACTACGAGGAGGCTGATATGTTAATTAATCTTATGAATTTGTGTTCTGTATAGACTGTTGGATTTTTCTTTGGGCAGAAGATTCTGAAAATGTAATTAAATTCACATATGTCAGAAGAAACTCACTTTATAGTTAATACTTAGTGTCTCCCAACTCCCATCTTGTCTACCTCTCTCTCTCTCTATAACGCATATTGGATTTAGGAAGTCCTGCAAATTTTGTCTCTAACAACACTCTTTAGATCATTTTCACCTTCTCATTTCGTTGTGTAAGTAACACTAGTTTTTTCTGTGTCCTCAAAAGTTTAAAAGTAATTTTATTCAGCTTGATCACGGGAGTTCTATTTGTTCTTAAATCATTTATTCTCCTTTTGTTGAGTTAATGTTGACTTTAATTAGTAATTAAGATGCCACCTCAAGTTAATATGGGATATTTACAAACTAACTTTGGCCCCTCATATACTAAAAGGAAAAATTAGCATGAGTTAGATAACTTATTAGGTTAGGGAAAATTCCTTAAAAATACACCAACTGAGTTTCTTTTGCTAAAAAAATACACCAACTTTTTAGACTTCCCGAAAAATACACAGAGTAATTTTGGTTGTCCACAAAATACATGAACTTTTGAATTTTGAAGGTTTCACACCTCGATTTTAACGGCGTTAACTCTGATTAACAGAACATTTAGACGCCGTTAGACGATATTAACTCTAATTCAAAAGTTCATATATTTTGTGGACAACCAAAATTAGTCTGTGTATTTTTCGGGAAACTAAAAAAGTTCGTGTATTTTTTCAGCAAAAAAAATTTAGTATGTGTATTTTTAAGGAATTTTCAGAAATATACTAAGGTGGAAAAGACATTGACTTTTTTTGTTTGACTGAAAAATATAATTTTTGAATATATTTATTCATATCGAGGACGGTTTTTCTAGGGTGAGTTTGGATCTATAATTAAAATGCGTGTAAAATACCAGTAATTTTTGGATATGTATCATGTAATAGAGAATGTGTTTTTGTTTGGGTCTTTGGGTCGGGTTTGGGCCGGTTCTTTTCGGATCTAAGATATCCGGATCTAAGAACCGGCCCAAACCCGACCTAAAGATCTGAACAAAAACAAATTCTCTTCCACATGATACATATCCAAAAATTACCAGTATTTTCCACGTATTTTAATTATAGANTGGATATGTATCATGTAATAGAGAATGTGTTTTTGTTTGGGTCTTTGGGTCGGGTTTGGGCCGGTTCTTTTCGGATCTAAGATATCCGGATCTAAGAACCGGCCCAAACCCGACCTAAAGATCTGAACAAAAACAAATTCTCTTCCACATGATACATATCCAAAAATTACCAGTATTTTCCACGTATTTTAATTATAGACTAGATAAGACCCGCGCCATGCGCGGAATGAAAATATTATTAAATTACAAAATTATAAGAAACCATTCATATAATATTAGAATTGATGTCATGCAATTTGGAATGGTGTAGTAACACACAACATTTGTTTGTTTATACA